CTTGATATGAGCAATGTTCACTTGATGTTCGCTTTTGAAAGATCATCAGGGGAACATCAGTCCAGCGACTGGGAAACGGAGATTGGGTAACTAGGTTTGGTTGCTCTCACTTGTTGCTGTGTCCGGTTATTAAATCCAGATCACCCGTTGAATCTTTTGGAACTTTTAGTCAACCAAGCATTACGCAGATTTCTAAAAAGGAAAACGTTGGTAGCTCAGGTAGGGTAGATGGTCGTTGGCTTGTTCGCTGAGCTGGGCAATTTGATTGCAGACGTTTCGTAACCAGCCGAGGTGAAATCATCAGTGCGTTATCGGGGAGCGTAGTGGTGCGTAGCGGTGGGTTGGTGGTTGTGCTCTTACCGCAACACTACGCTCTCCGATGACGCACTGATGATGTCACCTCGATTGGTGATGAAACATTTGCAGTCAGATTGCCCAGCACAGCGAATAAGCCAACGACCATTATGCAATGTACTGGGTGAGGTATATTGATGGGTGGTTAGCGACCGAGTGTATTTCGCATGCCTTGATGAAACTTACGGCGGAGGATGATGAGACGTTTGATACAAACTACAAGCCCGACTGACAAGCACATCAGTTAAATGTGCAGTGGTGACAAGTATAGCTCAGTAGTTCGCGGAGGCACATAAACCGTCACACCACTGCGAGAGCTAGTCTCTTCGTTAAGGAGGAATGAAAACATGAATTGAAAAATAGGAGTTATTTTAGAGGGAATTCAAATAAGCAATGTTCATTTAGAAGCATCTTCACCCATTCGAGGTCTTTGATCATGAGGCTACTGTCACGAAACAATCTGTATCTGTATGATTTGAGTTCCCTTTGTAAGCGTACTCATGACTGGAGCATCTGTGACAGTATTTGGTTCACCATACCAACCCAAGTTCGAATTTTCTGACTTTCTGAAGGAACTGTACCTTGTGTTTTCTGAACACACAGAAATAAAACGTACATCTCCGTTTTATGACGCAACTGACTGGCATAATTTACATCCATTTCTTAGTTAACGTAACCAATCACGTGCACGACGAAAACTTGTGTTCATCTCAGGTAATCAACTCAGTATTACTTTGCAGACGCAAGTTGACCGGGTATAAACACGTGAGATAAGTCAATATGTTATAGGCTAAACTGCGACACAGTGTGACAAAAAACGCTGGACACAGAACTGAAGGAGTGATATCCACCGGCAGACAGATACTGTGAGTGATTAGTACCTGTGCCGACGATCTGTTGTTTAGTGCCACTTTGGGGTCACTCCATTGTCTAGAATGAATACATCAGCGGTTTTCTTGTATTTCTGCATCACTTCTGAGTTCCCACAGAGTCTTCTTAAATGTCGCCACAATTCAGTTTACCTCAACTTCTATTTATGAGTGAACGATTGTGTACCACTTTGTCGGGTAGTATTCTTCAATCAAGAAACGGAAGGCTCTTATTGAATTCCACCGATCTGCCTGACTATTGTATACGAAAACTTAGGACGATAGCGTCATGAGCGAGGCAGCTGCTGGACATTACTTGCGACCATTACCTAAGTGCACCTAATACAAGAGTTTTCAGCAAACTTGTGAGTAGGTTCATTTATGAGAATATGCTGCGATATCTCGAATATCGTGCCAACTGAAACATGAGGCGGCCTGTGTGCAGCACATTCAGTTGTAGAATATCATAAACAAGAAATTCGGTTGAGTCTGTCGTGAAAATCAAATCGATTTGCAAATTAGTGTATTTCTCGAGAACAGTCCAATTTGGGTTCAAACAGAACATAATGTTGGCGGAAACTCGGGGACCGCGCGTACCTGATGAGTCCCAAGAAGGGGGAAACCAGTCGTGGGTTGTCGAGCAGCAACCTTGTGAGTAGTGTCCTTTATGAAAAGACAAGTTCAGGTCTCGTGAAGTAGATGCTTAGTCACGACCAAAAAGTTTCTGGTCTATGATATTAGGAAATTCCGTTTCTTAGGAGGAGGAGGACTCTACCGATAGCATATAGAGTTGCGAATGTACTTGTTGGTCAACCACTTCACGCTCGACCTGGAATTTTCCAGAAACCGTGACTAGTAACTCTGGAACGAAGCACCACGTTCGGTGAGAAGCACACATTCATGGCCTTGGACACAGAGGGACATTGTTGAATGACTGAACGTGATCGTAGGAACAAATCGAAAGCCAACGCATGTTGTTGACGACGCATTGCGATGGCACGACTCATGGTCTGAGTAACTGGAACTGTTCGGAATGGGCAGTTCAAACAGTGTGCAAATCTGGCTCCACAGTTCTCGATGAGACAACTATCCTCAGGTTGTCTACATTAAAAAGCTATTCATCTTGACAACGAATCAACTTGGTGTATGACAACAATGACTTTTATGTACATCAAGACACAGGTAAGAGTTTCAGGCCCCATGAGTGGAAGAACTGGCAAGCAGCATGTTACAAAACATTTAAGCAATAATCAGCTGCTGTGGCTTCCTTCCTGGGTCGTGCATGTGCTTGGGTGATGTGGGAAATGTGGCTACTTCCAGTGGAAATAACCGCTCTCCGGGCCGTAGTTGGACACTCATCCAGAAAAATTATCCCAAAAATTATGGAGTGTGTACATGTAGTGAAATGCTCTTAGGTCGGTTTTCTCTACTGGTCGCTGCTCAGTTGGCCTGTCAGCCTAACTTGTCAAGTAGCTTGCAAATTCTTCGTCACTGTGGGTGCACAGAGCCCATTTAACCGCACACCGAAGAGCGTGAAACGTTTGCAAGCCAGTTTCCAAGATCGGGGAAGAGACGAACAGTCAATACTGTATAGCTAGATGACAGCTCAGTGATGAATTCCTGTAACACTACGGTGACTAAATCGGTTGAGCATCTGACGACTGGAAATTGCGGTTTTGAATCGATGAATCAGTCGTTCGCATTTTGGATCGTTTGAGCTGCGCTTGTTATGGTAGCTGAAGTTGCAGAGCTGCTTTGAGGTAGCCTGGTAGTATTCGAGAAATACACTAATTTGCAAATCAATTTGGTTTTCACGAGAGACTCAACGGAATCTCTCGTTTGTGATATTCTACAACTGAATGTGCTGCACACAGGGCACCTCATGATTCAGTTGGCACGATAATCGAGATATCGCAGCATAGTTTCACATAGGAAACTAGTCACAAGGTTGCTGAAAACTCTTCGACAGCCTACGACCGGTTTCGCCCTTTTTGGGGCTCATCAGGTAGGCGCAGTTCCCGGGTTTCCGTCATGAGGCGGCCTGTGTACAGCACATTCAGTTGTAGAATATCATAAACGAAAGATTCAGTTGAATCTCTCGTGATAACCAAATTGGCTTGCAAATTAGTGCATTTCTCGAAAACAGTCCAATTTGGGTTCAAAACAGAACAAAGGTTGGCGGAAACTCGGGGAATGCGCCAGTCTGATGATCCCCAAGAAGGGCGAAACCAGTCGTGGGCTGTCGAAGAGTTTTCAGTAACCTTGTGAGTAGTTTCCTTTATGAAAATAGCCTGATAGTAGTTTCTCATCTGGGTCTAAACTGGGATTGTGTAGGTAAGCGTAATGCCTTTGATGTATAAAACCGCCTGGAGTTTGCTATGAAGACTGAGTAGAATGTAGCAAAGCAACATCTTTTAGAAAACAATGAAACTGGAAACGCTTGTGTGTATTCAGCTAGATAATTTGTGTGCACTTAACCACGGCTTGTTCACCAACCGTACAGTATTGGCTGCAGGGTTCGGATAGACCTCGTTGTCGCCGGAAGACCTACCTCTCTCCAAACATTGGGTAATCTCATATGCTTCATCTTTACATGCCTACGTTTTATGTTACCGTATACTTTTCATCCGCATTCCTTCTGGTATGTGCCGTATCACACTGTATTGTTTTTCTGGTATGTGCCGTATCACACTGTATTGTGCTTTCCTTTTTAGCTTCATTTTTAATGGCCTCACATGTACATATCCCTGATTGTCTTGTCTTGTTCACTTGGACATTCAGGTAGGTTAAGCATACAACAGTATTACGACTGACTCTGTTTGACCACCGTTGTACGGGATACACGGGTTATTGATCCAAACATGTTCCCCTTGGATCGTTCTTATTAGTGGCTTTGGCCACTTGGCCATCAAACATTAAATTATAGGTACCAACTGCTCAGTTGTCCACACCTGGCTTGATAACCATAAGCCACTGATTGGACATGTTTTATCCGCTCAGGCTCACACAAGGTAAGATTGTTGTACATGCGGTTCCGCATAAACCGCATCTATCCGCAGCCGTGGATCAATGTAGTACGTTGAAACAGACGAATCTTGTAATGGATGGCAGCGTACAATTAGTTCCAGTTAGTTAATTAGTTTGTCAAAGTTGTATTCCTATCACTGTTGCTCGAAAAGTGTTCCTCATTTAAGGGCGCAGCGACTCACACCAGCTATTTCACACCAGAGAAGGGGTAAAGTCTTGCTTTATCACCGGGGGAGGGCAGAACAGTTTAGGAAGTAATGACATAAATGGCTGTAGTGTCACGTAATCTGGGAGTTTTGATTAGGGGTCTAGTCGAACGAGACAAACAGGGCAGTTCCTATCCTGTAGTTCAAGGCGTTGGACAAGCTAAATACATCGCTCATTCGAGATTACGCCTAGCCCCGAGAGTTGTGCAGTAACCTTTGAAAGGTTTCAGCTCAATCCGACCAGTGACAATTCAGCCGCTCTTTCATCATGGTAGTTTTGATCCCCGTCATTATCATCATCATCACCATCATCACCAAAATCACTAATAGTGATATGACTCTAGAGGTTGCTCCCCTCAGTCGAGACGCTCCCATGACAAACAAGTGTAACGGTGAAGATTCTGCTTGGAAAATGCGATCAACAGTAAAGTCCGTAGACATTGTCATGGCAATGAGTTTACCAATAGTGTTCCTTGTTCTTCCCTGACCTATTACATGGCAGCTTAACCGTGGGACACTTTATCATTAATTTCTTGGCATGCAGGGCAACAGGCTCCTCAACGAAAGACAAACACTTTGGCTACATGTGTTGGTCAGGTGCACAGGTTTGGCACAAACTTCACAATCGTCCAACCTTCTCCTTCAGCCAACGAATCAACGGCATCCAGAACCAATCCTGTGTCCTGGTTGAGCCAGGATGCGAATAAATATTTGATAGTATGTGGAAGCGCACAGCAATGGTTAAGTTACTACTGTCAACCAGCTTTCTAATCCTGATAAATTTGGCATCAGGTAAGTCCATTTTTTAACTTTAAACTACTTCGTAATGATAGTAGAGTATTTGTAATAGAACGGGGTCACCAGTGGCTGTTTTTTCCCTAATTTCACAGCACGATTGGTAACTGGTGAGTTCGATTATCAGTTCTTTAAATTTTGCGTCCTTAAACACTTGTTTGCTACTCAACTAAATCAAAACTGAGAATGCCATTATGGCTGTTTAGTACTTATGGGTATCTGGAAGCTATAGACGGTTTGTCGTTTGCCGACTCCAGTCCGTATATTCAGTTAGATGAAAAATTTTTAAAGGTCTCACAATTCGTCCGGTACTCCTACTTTCTCGGGGGTACATCCAGCTCAAAGTTCGGTGTGCAGTACCACATTCGACTGAGTGCAAATAGTCTTCAACTAACCAACTGCACTCGGTCATGCGGTGTCTTGACCATTGTTGACGGACAGATTCGATTCGGATGCCTATTACTCAACGATCTTTTTCAGAGATCGAAGACTATTTCAGTGCGGTCTCTTGGAGAGTGCTCGTCCTGAATTAAGATGTTGATACTGGAAAACTGAAGTAAATTTCCTTGTTTATGCTATGGTGTGACTGAACTGACTTCACAAAGGCTGATTCTTACTCTACTTGGAACAATGTACGAGAGTTCTAGCTTCGTTGTTTGGTACTAAACTGTTCACACTTGTATCACATAAGGATGGAACCGGTTCTTCGTTTTATTTTGCCAAGGGGTTTGACATATCCGAAATCTGGTGAAGTGTGGTGACAACCACAGAAGAACGTGATGTGAGACCAAACAGAAAACCTCAGGCAATATCGTGCCTTAGAATAGGTCTGAGTACATAGGGGAATCACTGATAGTAAGTAAGATTTCTCTGGAAAGACAAGCACTCTCTCTCTCTCCTCTCTCTCTCTGGGGCAACATGGTTTTTCTAATTTCTTCGAAATCATGTCAGTGCTTAATAGTGTGTAATTTTTAAATATAACTTAACTTTCACCTTCACTGCCTATCATTCACCATTCCTGGAATCACTCAAATCTGCTGTCCCCTGCAGACTCGGGTTTCCCAGCTTTCAACGAGCTCTCTTTCGGGCATCCCGACTCAAATGGACACCTGCAACCTGATTTTCTCAACCAACTCGTCCAACAGAATGTTGTATTATCAATGGATTGTGTCGGGTTTTCCAATCCTAAGCAAATGTTAGGGAAGATACTCTAGCACGTACTATACAAATGAGACAATTAGTGGCACCATTAATTTTGAATGCCACTGCAGCTGCATCGGGTGACAGCCACATTGAATGCACATCTCAAATTTACTTTTTGAAAAATTTTCCTCTCTGAGTTCCACTGGATAGATATTTCTCGTGAAGACAATGACTGTCACTGTGAGTTCGTCAGGCGAGTTTAATGCCGTTGGTATCTTGCGAGATTCAGAGCCCGGAAAAGGTACTTTGTAGTGTCCCGTGGTTTCAAAAAGACTCAATTATTATGGCTCAGGTAGATACCGAAAAAGTGAAACCAGTTGGGTCACCTAAGCCTGAAGTGAGAAAAAACACATTTACCTATGTAATTTCTGTCATCACTTTTCTGACGGTTGTTTGACACCATGAACATGCAACAATAGTCCAAAAATTCCGACGGGGTAGCTCCTCAGGTTGATGTACGCTGTTAAAAATCGTTGGGAAAGCTTTGACGAGAAGAGACCACTTAACTGGGGTAAATAGACGTCCCCTCCATTGTGAGTAAAATATCATAATGAATTCTTTCTCAGATCAGCCAGCAGTGGCATTTTCTGAGAAGTGGTCTCTTGGTCTTCACCACAGATTTTTTGTTAATTACACCGAATTTTACTGCCAAACGTGTACTTTAGTATTAATACAAGATTCAAGTCTATGACTCTCGGCTAACACAAAGACTCAAAACCACCAAATCACCTGCAATGAAATCGTTATCTAGTCGCATAAAAATCCGTCAACATCGAGTTCGGAATTGGTGATAAAAAATATTACAGAATAATTAACCGAAGCGAATCTAACAACTCGAGTTTGGCCTAGGAGTATCTGAATCAATAACGAATGCTTTTACTATCAGAAACTGAGCTATGAGAATCAGGGTTCTGGAGAGCCTCGAGGCAAAAAAATAACTGGGAGGGTTTTCAGTGGAGTTGTGTGTAGTAAGTTAAGTCGAAAAAATACTATTGTAAATCTGGAGAGCACACACATGTTGGCGTACCTTGTCTGGTTGGCTACTTTATCAAAAGGAAACCAAACAAATCAGATTATCGTGATCCGTAAAACTGCCAACCAACTGAAATAGTTCGTCTAAGCTTCATGAAGTAAGTTTAGTTCTCGGACTACAATCAGTTTCTATTTTTAACCAAACGTACAAATGTACATGTGCCTTCTCATTTCGTGTGGAGCATTTAACAAGGCGCAATTGAATGCTAACTCGGGCGGTTTGTTAGACGGTCCTGGACTAAAGATCATAACGAGAAACAAAATTCTGAAGTTTTCACAAGGGAAACTACTCGCAAGGTTGCTGAAAACTCTTTGACAGCCCACGACCGGTTTCACCTCAACTTTAGGATCATCAGATAGGCGCAGTTGCCGAGTTTCCGTCGACCTTACGTTCTACTTGAACTCAAATTGGACTGTTTTCGACAAGCACACAAATTTGCAAATCAATTTGGTTTTCACGAGAGACTCAACGGAATCTCTCGTTTGTGATATTCTACAACTGAACATGCTGCACACAGGCCGCCTCATGTTTCAGTTGGCACGATATTCGAGATATCGCAGTATATTTTCATAAACGAAACTACTGAAGTTGTTCATCAACTAATTCATTCTAGTTCCGATTTGCGGTGAGTCATTTTTGGAACGTACATCGTTATAGTCGAAGCTTTTAGTTTATTATTTTGAAGTAGTCTACGTTCCGGTTGGTTTTTCACACATAATCACGATCATTTGAATTTGAATGATTTAGTTTTAGGGAAACCTTGTTACCACTAGACAACAAATAATAACCGGGTGCGTTCGTTCTATCATCCAATAGAAGCCAAATGGACAAACAGTTATACCTCTGAATTCGTCAAACACTGCTACCTAATTGTAGCCACTTTAACGAAATTCGATCCTCTAGTTTGGGAGTTTATCAGTTGAAAATAACAGTTCCTGTCCTTTATTGCCATCATATTTATTCACTGCGCAACCACATTTCAGATTTCGCTCGAGTGGAAAACGTCACAAGATCTGATTTGTCAGCAAGCGGGTTCGTTCGGATCTCATGGAATTACACAAGCGACTGTCCACAAACAATCGGCTTTCGAGTCGTGGTCTATGTTGGTGACAAAGAACGAGCGACGTACCACACATCTAGGAATTTCATTGATATTAAGGTGCGGAATGTATGTGACACACTGGTGATCGTTGTGAGCTCGTACTGGCAGCACAAGATGATCCATGCGCGAAAGACATTCGGGTTTTCCTCCGGTGGGTTTTCATCGACTGAATTTAATCAAGAACTGTTCCTAACTGGTTTCACAAAAGAAGACTGCGTTCAATTATGTCTCCAGCACAGTACTGTTTAATTTGTATAGGTAATGTGTCTGGGTTTCCTAACGAAACCAGAAGTATACATCCGCTTCTTACGTTTGCATTATTTCACTTCAAACGTATGGATAAAACCCTAAATTAATGCATGGTAAATACGTTGCGCACAATGATAAATTGAGACGAATACAGGTCTTGAGAAGGGTAGTTGAAAGTTGAGGACGAGAGAAAGACACTGGACCTTCTACTCAATGAAAGTGTTTCACCGGCTAGGCTGTCAGGAGCGTAATTTATGTTTGCCCTTGCCCTTGAATATTTCACGTGATTCGTCACATTATGCTTAACTGACTAGCCATGGATTTTGGTGAGCCTGTAGTATAATGTTTGCAATGAAACTTACTTCGGCATTACCAAGGTGTTAGTGAGAAGCCCCACGGTAGCCCTGTTGTTGGAGTTTAAAGTACGGGTACTTAGGCTTCGCAAAGGAAGATTGAACAGATCTTATTGTTCTTTCTGTCGGCAGAACATCTGTTGAAAGTGCTTGCGAACTAATGAGGATCGGTAAATTTTCGGTGTTAGTAAACCTGTATTTGCTAGGATAACTCATGCAAAACAGTCCTTTCAGGTACTGGACACAAAGACGCACTTTTGCAGAATGTCGCGGATCTTTTTGTTTTTATTTCACTAGGCACCAAATAAAGATCCAAACAACAAGTAAAGTTTACAGGGAAAAAATTAACGTGTCAAATGCGAGCTCCGCAGTTTACCAGAATGCTGCCATCGCGGAAGGGTTGAACATGGTTGATCAACATGCCTGACACCCCTGCCATTTTTTATGCTGATCGACATATCAAATGCAGTCACTGCACGATACGATGCTTGCTCTCGATCAAATGATTAATAACTGAGGAGGTCGACAGTATAGGGCGTGATCTTGACTGGATTTGATTTCATGTCGGTGCATCTGATTGGTCCAAATCTTTTTGTAGCCCCAATGACACAAGCTTGCTGTTCCTAAGTTTCAGTAGCCTTTCTGTTCTGCCGAAGAATATGGCTTTTCATTTCGTTGGCAGTATTGTGGTGAACTGCAGAGCAAGCCTTTGTAATTGTAATTGTTCCTTCTTTAAATTAATTTATATGAATCTGTAGAGGGTGCTTGTTTAGCCACAGTGACTGAATGTGGAATATCATGTGAAAGTTCAGTGTTTTGTTTCATCCCAAAACTGCTCGGATTTTTCATGAAAAAATCGAAATTCGATATAAGATTGTGGTATTCAACGTTGCAGTATCATAAGGATATTACGACCCAGTGGATAGACAGATGTATCATGGAAAAAGCTATTTTTATGTGCTCGTTTTTACAAGGTTTTAACTCTTCCAGCAATCGATGGGACCAAATGACTATCAATTACTGAGTGAAAATTTCATGAGCTTTACTGGCAAGAAAGGAGGCGTTTGATTCAAGGTTACAGGCGAACCGAATGGTACATCGGGGTTCTGATCTGACAGGCATGTTTAAGGTTTGCATAGAAATGAAAATAGCTCCTTTAGCACATACCCTGTGAGTCCTGCACTCCTGGAGAATTTGGACAAATTCTTGTTCATTCGGGAGCTCGTGTTGAATAGATGACCAAGACAGGAAATATCACCGACAGGAACGGCCGCATTCATTCACATTTTCATCGGTTTCCTCTTGTTTACTAAGTTAAAATTTAATATATGCAAACCGGTACTGAGTTCTTCACATTTTTTACCATATATGCGTGGTTGTTTTTCGCACTGTCCATGTCGCATACTGAGGGCAACCTTTCTGATGGTTTGTTCCATCGGAAAAATTTCATTCACCTTTAAGTTCCGGTTCGGGCTACGGATGATCTGACAATCCTGACAGTCTGCATTCTCCTCTGTAACTCAGGTTGAATGTTTGCGTCGAAATATTTCATTGAGAAAGTCCTGGGCGTAGCCTCAGAATCACAATCAATAAGCATCCCATACGGCGTGTAGCTTTTCATCAAAAGGTCGTATGAAATGCTGTCATCGTCACAAGTAATATGGCTTTTAAAATTACCCCAGACGACGCCAAACTCTGGAAATTTAGTCTCAAATCCGCATCGGACCCCAAATGACCAGGCGCTATTCTTTGGTTGTGGACCGGAGTCCATAAAAAGTATGTACTTTCTTATACCTGTTTTACCTCTCCAGTTAATCCGACAAGCCTATTTCCCCAATTCCCATCAGGCCAATTTCTTGCTGGGGCACGCTGTCACAGAAGGGACCCATTGGTGTGTTGCCGCGATCGAGATCTGGCAGTTACTATTTCCTCAGATTGTTAGAACTACTGAGGCTGGAAACGCAATCTAGGGACAGTGACAGAACCATTTGTTTGACAAACTAAGATGCAGTTCGCAGCAAAATGTCACCTGTGAAGTTTAGATAGTTTAACTAGATTCATTTACGCATTGCCAGCTAATCGAATGTGCGGTTAGACTGTACCCTAATTAGTTGCACTAAAGCGCATTTTCCGCAAAACGTCGTTCGGGTCAAACAGCGGTGTTTGTCAGTACAACACCCAGTCAGTATTATCAAAACAAGCCAGCTAAATACACCTGCTTTCATTTAAGCGAAATATATATGCTCATCTTCGTTGACTTTATTAACCTAGTTCACAGGAGTGCGTAGTTGAATTTTGTCCAACAAGCACTGTTGGCTGTCCAGTTGTTGTGTTCCCCTGTCCTGCCAGCTGTGTGATGTGTTCCTCATACACTTCCGCCTTTGCTCTTTGATCGGCAAGCTAAACAAGTAGGATTCCATATCAAAGGAGCCTATGCCACAATGTCGAGCCAGACCAAGAAGAGACGTTATAGTCTCCTATGGTGAAATGCTAGAGTGAACACTTTCTCCCGTTCAGGCGTCACAATTCAGATCTGTCAGTTGTACACTAATGCAGTGCAGTAACACGGTCGCCTCGTAGGTCAGGTGTTCGGAGTTCAAACGTCGACGGGGCCCAGGATGTGCACTGCTGATGAGCTCAACTAAGAGTGAAAATCGAGTCCAGAGCTTCCCGTTTCGTGTGGACTCAACAGAATAATTGCGCCCGGAAGGGAGGACGACTGTTCAAAGGAGAGTGATGTGAACGTAAACTACTGGAAACATATTTGTTCCAAACAGATGGTGTGAGCGCTCGTATGTCACCGGTGAATCAATAAGTTTAAAAGTGACTTTGTAAAATTATGAGCACTGACTTCTCTCTGTTAATTACTGAAAGCTCACAATAATTTCCCCAAGTTTCGACAAAACTGTGCAGCAGGTTTCCTCATATTTCCAGTGCCGAACGAGCCGACAGACTTTATATTCCGAGGACAAGAAGGAAAATGGCATATCTCCTGGCACGATTCGTCCCAATGTCCCACATCTAGATACATTGTGAGCGTCAGCAATAGCTTGAACCAGAGTGTCTTTAGTGGAAACGTCACGCAACGGGAGATAAACATAGAGCGATTGGACTTTTGTGCTGATTGGTTCGTTAGCGTCACAGCTGTCAATGAAGCAGGAGAAAGTCCAAAGGCAATAAAAAATTTGACTGCTGTTCAAATGGGTAAGCGATATATTTCAACGTTTGCAACTCTTTGCGAAACAAAAAACCACTCAATTGGGATGATACCCTACTTAAGAGATTGCTTCCAGTCTATTTCGAACTAAGCCCCGAGTTTCCATCGATCATGTATTCTACCTGAACCCATATTGTACTCGGCTCGCCCATTGCACTGTTTTGCAAACTGGTTTGGTTTTTACACGGGACTTGACTGATTCGCAGCTAGATCTCATGTTTATGATATCCCCCAACAGAATGTACAGCATAACAACCGTTTTGTGTTTCAGTGAATAGGATATTCGAGATATCGCTGTATATTTTCTCTAGGAACGGATCTCTAGAGCGGATCACAAGAGGGATGTGATACCCATCCGGTCTATTCTTTCACTTTTACCTTATTAGTGCACGTGTGATGATAGCCATAATGCAACTCAGAAGGTATACGGACTAATAACAGTCTACTGTGCTTGACAGTAGTTCACAGAAGCGATTTGCAGCATGTATAAAATAAAGGCAATATAAAATGTGGAGCAAGTCAAAAGGGAACTTATCGTATGTGAGAGTCCCTTGGTGAAAGTCCGGACCGTGGGAACTTGTTTTCTCCGCAGTTTGGCTGCTACACGTGTTCCATAATTGTCCGAACGTTTGGCTGACTCCTTGCTCCTTGCGCGCGCGCGCCAGTCTGTACGTCTTTACCGTGTTGTCTCTTCCTATATACATAGGAAAGTTTGACGTGTGTATAAAACACGAGTCGTTCCAATGTGTACTGGACAGGAACTGACTTGTCGGTCAAGGTAACGCGCGGGACAGCGTTTGTCACGTGATTTGTGCACTTGCGGAGCAGGCAAGTCGCATAATCTAGTGAACTCGGATGTAGTAGACAAATTAAGTGAAGTTGGTTGAGGGGACGTGAAAATGTCCGCTACAACCCTCATGTTTGAGCCGACCGAATTCAAGAAACTCCTACCCTGGAGTTCCGAAGACCAAGATGAAAGCCACAAGAAGACGGAAACGAGTGAATATCTCCAGAATAAATCAGCTGTTTCACAATGCATACATAAATACATTGAAGTGAGCCTGTCTGCGTTCTAATAGTGAATTGTGTCAATTGTGTCATCGAAGACAGGTGAGCGAAACGTGAAAGTGCCATATGGTTTAGTCGAATGCTGACCATATTCTCCGTATGATTCAGGTGGGGACTGTGTTCCTCCACCGAATTTCGGATGCAACCTCGGACACATCTACTCACATCCATTGATCATGCGATTTCTATGCGCTATTCTTCTTTTCATCGCACATTAGTAATTACCAACGGGCACCAAAAGCCTTCCCGCCCCTCCCCCCAGAAACGCGCGTTTATCGTCATATTTCGAAGGACGTAGACATGAGAACGTTTTCTTCTTCCGAAATTTAATAACTTATTTGTTCTAAAGATGTCCCTGACGTAATACACCCTGATATAGCAAGCTTTACTGTACGCTCATTCAACTGTTCCCACTGATATTGGCGACATTTTTAAACGCATTGTCAATCACTGTCAATCATCACGAATCCAACTCAGAAGAAATCGTCTAATTGTATGTTTTTCTTAGGTCTCTGAGCACACAGTTAATTGATTCCAACTGATTCGTTCATCCTTGCACCTGTTCATGGGTGTCAGTTCACTGAAAGCCAATTCATCCCAAACCTGCATCTCTCCAGATCGATTGCTCGTAGGCCAATCTGTTGCCAGACAACTAATCCCTAGCTGGGAGGAAACTGCTTCCAAACGTAGTTAGTGATAAATGGTGTCTAAAATGGTAGACCGGTCGCCTAAAACACTGCACTTTGGGCGTTGCCATCAGGATATACCAGTGGAATAAATCTGTCGATACCGGAAGAACATGGAATAGGAGCGGTGCCCCAAAGTCTGGAGCCAAATGTGAATGGCAATACGTGATGGCCTCCCTGGCAACCCGAGAATATGCTGCTAAATGGTAGATGTCGTACGTTAATTATCTACGGCGGGAATACTTGTTCCGCCAACCACTGTAATTCCACAGTTAACGTGTACAACTTCATTTCTACTTGCCTCAGCTATCGAATTACTTTTTAGCACGTGTCCGGAGCATGGGTCATCCAGGAATTCAGCACTGGCTGATCACACCTCTTCTGGCTATAGGCGGTTAGTCCTGTTGCATTTTGCGTAAGAAAACACCCACTAAAGATTAACTGAGTAGGTGGCAAATTGGAATTCGATGAATAAATGGTGATAAGTCAGTTAGGCAAATAATTGCGTTTTAGCTGTCATCCGGATGCGGCAAACGCTCTCCAGACTTCGGTAGTTCAAAAGAAACCATCTATGTCTCACAAGACACCAACGTTATATGATGTTGGCGTGAGGAAGCTTGGCTTCCATACTCCCTGGAACGTCCTTTAAGCCGTCGAAAAGGCTTTCTTGTCGACGTTGATTACAGCTCACTGTGAGACTTTATGGCCATCGGAAGGGAAGCGGAGCAAACAGCTTGTAGCAACTTGGCTTATTATAATTTGGCTTCCCCTTCTACACCAGGTCATCAACTGTTCAAAGGTCACATTTTCCGTAGTTGGCATCTTGTGATTGTTGTCGTTATCTAAGTCAAATAGAGACTGGTGAAAAGCAAAACATGAAGAGCGCAGTCACGTGCTAATCGCCGAGTTTGGTAGTTCCAGGTACGCAAAGCACAGGTATTCGTTGAATAGACGTTTCATACTACTCACAAGATTTCTGAAAACTTTTCGATAGCCCAAGACCGGTTTCACCCCTTCACCTTGGGCGTATAAGTTAGGTGTAATCCAAGGATGTGCGCCAGCATCACGTTCTACTCGAACACAAATTACAACTCCGATAAATCCACTCATTTGCATACCAGTTTGACTTTCAACAAGGGCTAACCAGAATCGCAGCATAATCTTTGTTTGTCGGAGATTCACCTGGGTTTCAGTCAAACTGATATTTGTCGAAATATTAGTCGATCCAACTTAAAAAGTTCAATAATATGGAACGATAGTCTTTTGTAAACGTGGACAGCTCTATATTGTGATATGTCTATGCAGAGATCTTTCGATCAATGTCAATCGTCGCTGCCCAAGTTCAAAAGGCGAGGTCACGTGGATGGGGCGTTTGGTAGTCCCGTGACAGTCATAGAAGCCACAGTAGCGATGAGCCGAGTGAAAAAAATTTAAAAGAATGAAAAGATGAATGCGCTGTAGATATGGTGGTGTAAAATCAGACAGAATATGGAATCGTATGGGGACAGGTTTTCTTTAAATAGTAAGTGAATGAGGGGGGATAGAATTGAAGGAGGGTCAGTAAGTGCATTATGTGTGATGTTTGGCAAGGTCAAATAAGTCACCGAGTGTCAATGAGGGTGCGATTCTACGGTCAGTAGCATAGAAATGCCTACCGAATGTTGCCGATCCTATCATTGCTTGGTGGATGAGTAATCGTGAGAATGAAATTCTGGTTACGACTGAGGTTCGCTGGTTGCAAACAAAATTTTGCGAATCACCCTTGTTAAATATAGCCGATCCGGGTGTATATTTCTTTATGTTCGACCAATTCACATTTTTCCTCACAATTATTAAAATATTTTAACAATAAATCAGCCCCCGTCGCTCCTGAGAGCATTAATGTGACTCGGAGGGCAAATTCCAAAGTGCTTGTCTCATGGAACTACACAAGTCTTTGTCACGTGAACAAGTTCAACGTGACCATATACAGCTCGCCTGGATCCGTGTTGCGGTCCGCAAACTCCATCAACCGAAGCATGGAATTCGCTGATTTGCCAACTTGTGTGTTCCTATACGTGGATGTCGTCGGTATCAATGAATTCGGAAAAGGAGGTCGCAGGAGCAGCATACCGTTTATCCTACCATCAGGTAAAACCAATGAACAAATACCCTCCGTTATATAGACATATTTAACCGCACCTGTAGCATGTAGCAAACAGGGATTATTCAACAAAAATCAGCTGACATAGTTGCAATGTGTTATTTTTACTCGCGAACGATAAAAAAAACAGTCAAATCCGTACGCGGTTATTCTGAGTCCTGTCGGTTATCATTCTATTACTGTTCAACAGGAGCTTGGCATTCATGCAGTCATAACTACTGCTGATTGGTTTACCTGTCATTTGTGTAAACGGTTATGAAATTTGAGGAAATACCGTGAGTAGTTTGGCGAACACGACAGCGCAACTAATTTCGATTTGTTGTAGGATTTCACTTCCCTGTCAGTCTGCAATGGATCTAAGATCTTATGATCCGTAGCTTGTTATCAAACCCTGCAGATCCCCTGATTTCATTCAACACTCGTTTTAGTTTGGTTTCAAAAGGAAGGAATAAGCTCCACCCAATTCCATTGGTATCTGACCTCCATTTATGTGCGGACTGGCCGAATTGAGATCACTGGTGATCTGCCTCAGTGAAAGGTTTCAAGCCCCCTACATCAGCAATCGATGGCGCGTTATCCAATAGTTAACGAGACCCCGGAAATTAGGACAACACATAGTTTGGGTACGTAGTGGAGGTACTTCCTATCCACGTGAGGTAACCAATGCGCCACTTGAACCTATTAACCTATGATTTGCAATCAATAACCAGCCAATCAATACCACGCATATCAACTCTGTCACTTAAAAACGCAGTATTCTTTTGACCAAGAATTATCTGCCTAATGAGACAAGTGTTCAGTTACGTTGACAATTAAAAAAATGAACATTGGAAGGATTCAAAGTGTCATCGATTACAGTCACTTTACCATTTGCGGCAACTTCTGAGCCGTTTAGATCAGAGGTCTCATTCAGCACTAGACTCCAGTGAAACCCCTCTTGAGTGGATTCATCCATGACAAGCGCCTCTCATAGGGGCATACGTGTCGTTTTTCCCATTTAGGTTCTTATGAATATCAGGACCAGCCCCGGGACTGAACAAAGTACGCCTGCAGACCTGTTGCGCTGATCTGGTTCCGCAGTAATGGTGAC